CAAAAAGTTATTTTTATTTTAAACAGTTTATCGTCCTGCGCACCCGAAAAAAAAAAATATATATATATATATATATATATATATATATATATATATGTAGCGTTCGGACATATATATATATATATATATATATATATATATATATATATATATATATATATATGTAGCGTTCGGACATATATATATATATATATATATATATATATATATATATATATATATAGAATGTAATATATAATCCGGTGTTCTTATAGATATTTTTATTTTTACAAAATAGTGCGCAATGTAAATTTATATATATATATATATATATATATATATATATATATATATATATATATATATAGTTTATGAAAAACTAGGTAATCCGTATGGGTAAACCCAAGGAGGATAAAATCCAGAGAGCTCAATGTAAATCCAGAGCAAATAATTTAAATAAAACAGACCACTTTATGGTTCCATGCAATAAATTATTTCAACACAGCCCTTTTTTAAATAAATATATATATATATATATATATATATATATATATATATATATATATATATATATATATATATGCGGTTGGATGGGGAGTGTTTGTGACCTTAGGTTTCACGATTTTGCGATCCTCAGACAAACTGCTTTATTTTTTCTTTGTTTCTGTTCTGTTTGATTGTGTATGGCGGAAGGGGAAAATTTTCTTGTTCTGTGTTTGTTTGTGAATATGCTTGCGTATACATACACACACACACACACACAGGCAGCGCATACATGTTAGTTCATATATATATATATATATATATATATATATACACCCATATTCATAATCTTGGTTAGGAGCAGTTACACTTTCGTACGCCCATGTCGGTGTCAAGATTGTAGCATTACATCAATGTAGCAATGTTCTCTTATCAAGGGACAGGTTGGGGGGCTTTGACATTTTTCAGGTCGGCTGATGCGCTGTCAGACATACTCTCACACACACACATGTAGCCGAACACCCATATTCACTCATTTAGGTCTGTTAACGTGGGTTAAGTTGGGTTCTGCTTGTAGGCATGGTGATGATTTGTTTTTTTAATAACTGCAGCGGTGTTATTAACGTTAATGATTATGTTAATGGTAATATTAGCTGTTATATTATTATTGATATATATTGATAATAATTGATATGCTATTAGTTAAGATGGTTGTAACGGTAATGTTACCACTAATAATAATGGTAATAATAATAATAACAATAATAATAATAGTAATAACGACAACACTAAAAACTAAAATATAAAATAATAAAGAAATAATGAAGAAATAATAGCAATGATAATAATGATAATTGTGATAATCATAATAATAATGATAATGGCAATAATAAAACGATGATAAAAACGGTGGAGTAATGGATAGCGGCTCGGACTGAGGAATCGGAGAGTCGAGTTCGAATTCCAGTCGAATCCATTACATTCACTTACATGCTAATACCCTTGGGAAAGGTATAAATCCTCTCCCCAGCTATGGGTAATAGCTAGTAAGACCGCGTTCTATAGCTTTCAATGGCAACTGGTCTACCGCAGAAAGAAATGGCAAGCTAATGCGGGAAAAAATCTGCCTCGTCAGTCATGTATCTTTCGACTGACGAGGCAGATTTAAGCACATAACTGATTGAATGGTGGTAGTTATAAAATAATGGTTCTAAAAGTGGTAACAACAATACTAATAGTGATAGTAAAGGTAGTAATCACAAAATAATAATTTTTGGTTATATTTGTCGTGATAGCCATCCTAATTGCTATGTCGGTGGTTGTATTTGAGGAGATGGTAGTTGTATCGGTAACAGTGTTGGTAGTGTTATATTGTTTCTTGTTGATGGTTATGTTTTCGTGGTTTAGTGTTCTACCATATTTTCGGTAGGCTTGTTTTCGTTTGTGTTCATTTTTTCTTGGTGGTATTTTACCCGTTTGGTTTGAACTGTGATAGTAGATATTTGTTTTCGTGTCTGCATTTTGAGATTATTTCAGATCTTTGGTCGCGAAAGAGTGAAATCTAAGGTCACAAACAACTTTCCATGCAAACGCATATGTTAGCTGTATCACGAATATTAAACACTTTCTGCTAAATACAGCACACACACATACACACACGCACATATATATATATATATATGTATGTATGTATATATATACCATTGTGCAAATTAATTGAAACAAAACGAATAATTCCGTTTTTATTTACTTTTTTTTCGCATTTTTCCAATGAAACATGACTCAGTGCACATGCTAACACTTCGTATGTCCATTCCACGAAGTCGTTCCTTGCAGATTGACCACAGAATCTCAATTGGATTTAAATCAGGTTTCCGGGCCATGCTATAGTACTTTGATATGCTCACTGTTAAGCCTTGCCAGTCTGTTTGTGCAGCGTTACAATTTTCGTACGCTTCCTTGGAGTAACGACCATCGCAGACAATGGCCGTAGGACAACTAATCGACAGTTGTGATAATAGTGTCTGGACGTGATAAAAATCTGATGCAATTACAGATGACGCAATATTTTTCAAGACCAAACAAATTTCATCATACACTCCGAAAATAAATTCATATTACTGCACATCACTGCAAATGACCTAATCAGAGGAAAAAATAGAAATCGATTACACCCTGTCACACCAATGGGTCTAAAACTGATCGTATAGTGAAAGAAAGGAAATTAAAGTGGTTGTTTCAATTAATTTGCGCAAGGGTATATGTAAATATATATATATATATATATATATATATATATATATATATATATATATATATATATATATATATATATATATATATATATACTACAGTTCAGATGTTTGAAGCACCCCAGAATTAGCATGGGTCTAAAAACTGATTGTATAGTGAAAGAAAGGTAATTAAAGCGGCTGTTTCAATGAATTTGCACAAGGGTGTATATATATATATATATATATATATATATATATACTACAGTTCAGATGTTTGAAGCACCCCAGAATTAGCATGAGTCTAAAACTGATCGTATAGTGAAAGAAAGGTAACTAAAGCAATGAATTTTCACAATGGTGTATGTAAATATATATATATATATATATATATATATATATATATATATATATATATATATATACAGTTCAGATGTTTGAAGCACCCCAGAATTAGCATGAGTCTAAAACTGATCGTATAGTGAAAGAAAGGTAACTAAAGCAATGAATTTTCACAATGGTGTATGTATATATATATATATATATATATATATATATATATATATATATATATATATATATATATATATATATATATATATACTACAGTTCAGATGTTTGTAGCACCCCAGAATTAGTATGGGAACAGAAGAGTGAAAATAAATGAAAAAGTGCTTAGTCATTGAAATCTGAATGGAATCAATTATCAAACTTTGACAAACTTTTGCAACGTGTGTGCCTGTATGCGTAGATATATATGTATGTGTGTGTGTGTATGTGTGTGTGTCTGTCTGTGTGTGTTTCATTGAAGGAATAATTTGTTTAGCTAAATAAATGATATTCCTTGTCCATCATATTCAATGAAATTCGCATAAAAGAAGATTGCTTCACAAATATACAATCTGTATATACGTGTATGTGTATGTGTGTGTGTATGTGTGCGTGCAGGGTGGGGTGGGAAAATAAAAAAACCTTTTTTACCCCACAATGGTAATATGTATACTCAAATAAATGGAGTTGATATGCGTGTCCAACTCGGACCAACCTTCTCTAATTATCATATGTCTCACGTTGAAAATAAAATAATGTTTTAAAAATCGACAAAAAAATTAAAATTTATGTCGAATATGTAGACGATATTTTCATTTTAGCTAGCAACAAATCAAATGGTAAACCTTAAAACTACCTTCGGAAACAGCTGTCTTAAAATTCACTTGCGAATGGACACTCTTATTATTAAAAAAAATATAAGGACATCAATTATAAACGAGGCCACAATGTTCTGACCGTATTCGGGAATGAAGAATATGTCTACTTTTCAGCAATTTTACATTATCTACCATAGCACTTACACGGCATTTATTGTTCTAGTATAGCTAAAATACTTGAAAATAGCTAGACGATTAGCCGAAAGCGCTCGGAATTACCAAACAATTACCGCAATAACTGGAAAGAATAAACTTGTTTACATAGAAGAAAAAATAACAAAAGTACATTGCCAGCGTTGTTTAACGAAACACACACATGCGCGCACACACACACGCATATATATATATATATATATATATATATATATATATATATAATGTTATTTTATGTGTGGTACACTTGTAAATTTGACTCGATGAAAATTGAAGCTGCTCAATCTCTATTCGTCTGACCAATGTACATCGTTGCCTACAAAAGGAAACTGACTGAAAGCGGAAGTCGTTGAATACTGACTCGCTGGAAAGCGGAAATCACTGAATGTAAATTCGCTGAAGTGAACTTAATGATCTGACCACACCGATTTATGACTAAAATTCCTCCCTCTTCCCCACTCTAACACTTTGCTAAAAATTTCTCACCTGAGATTTGAAATTCTTCACCTGGTAGCGAAGCACTACCTGTTTGAAAATCACAATTGTAAAGTTTCAAAGACTTGTTATTCAATACATCGAATTAAAATGTGACCAATTTGTATTATTTACACGAGGACTATTCTCCTAATCTTTGTTGTTTTCATCACAACATTTCACCCGTTGAGGTCTCCGGTCGTCTTCAGGTGCTTGTCGATCCAGATAACCTTCAAGGAATTTTGAACTGAACCTTTTAATTAAACTACTGAGGTAGATTGGTTTCATTTCTTTGACCATATTTGTGGGTATCTATACTAGTTCTTATTTAGTACTGTTCAGTTATTGTCCGCCCTATTTTGACAGATTCAAAATCTGTACCAGCCGACCCAGGGATTGAACTCATAATTACTGTCACCAAATTCACGAATAATAAAGCTAGGCGCTGTTAAGCATGCAGGTTAACGGACACATCAGGTTTAAACACTCGTTCTTGTGTTCTCGTACGATTACCGAAGTTAAGCAACATCAAGCCTGATTAGTACCTATATGAGTGACCGCTTGGGAATACCGGGAGCTGTAAGCTCTGGGTGTGCAAGTGGTGTAATGAATAACAGCTTTGAAAGATATTCCTTATCCATCATATTCAACGAAAGTTGCATGTATTTTCATTTTGCAATAAAAATGTATTGTTGGTCATTTTATTATGTACTGTTAATTTTTGTTTGGGGTTTACTAATTACACATGGCTGGGAACCTAACCGGTCCTACTACCCCACCCCACCCCGGTTAGGGATGGATCTGGGCACAGTAGCAGTTATGATGTCGTTCTACGCTTCTCAAAACCTGTAATCCCCTAATCAGAGACCTTGCTGCCAGATGTAGTTTATCGTCATACCCAGGACGAATTGAGTATTGAATACACTAATCAGTAGCAATTTTCACCCAGACTGGTTTGCTCAATATTATCCTACAACGAGGTGTCCATATTCAGTTGCATATAGTCAATTTTATAATTCTCAACCTAAAGCTGCTTTTGGTTTGTTGCTTTCGCTTGTAACTAATAAAACCAATTTTATAATCATTAGTTATCGCTGGTTTGGGAAATGGTCCGCAGTCGTTCTTTCATTATTCTCCAGTAACGATAAAACGAGTGTAAAATTCATTATTATTTTTATTATTATTGACGAGTCTCTACGCTTATGAAGATCATCCACAATGTTATGTCTTTGCTTGAGATGATTATATTGTTATTATTGCACACACAAAAACACTACAGTTATAAGCTCAGCTAAAATTTCAGAACGAAAAATAAAATAAAAAATCTGCTATGAATTTACTTCTCAACACAAGATCCTTTTTTTTCTCTTGCTACGAAGCGATACAAAAAAAAAAGATCTCTCCCCGACCCACTTCCCAAAATCCGACTAAACATCAGAATTTCATTTTGGCACCCTTTCTTGGCCTAGAACTTTTCAGTACCCCTGGTATATAATACACCAATTATATTTGTATATATTTTGTCTGTAAAGACTATAACACTGACTGTTGCATTTTAGTCCTGGGTATGACGATAAACTACATCCGGCTGCAAGGCTTCTGATTGGGAGATTGGAGGATTTGAAGAGCGTGGAACCACCTCTTAATTGCTACTGTGCCCAGGTCCATCCACGTGAAACCACCTCTTAATTGCTGTTGTTCCCAAGTTCACCCTGACCCGGGGTGGTAGCACCTGTTAGGATCCCAGCTATGGGCAAATAGTAACCCCCCACCAAACGAAAACAGAACACCATGAAAGTATAAAAATGCATTTTTATAGTAAATATACCAGCAATACATTTTTCTATAAAAAAATACCACCAATACCTATTTATAGTAAAATGACTAAGAATACATTTTATCTGTAGTTGTAGGCATACAATTGCGTTCAAAATATATTTAGATTTCGGCATTAAATAACCCATAGAGGTGTTGATATGCCGCAAAACAAAACCAACCAACCAATTAACCAACAGTCGCAATTTCAAAAGAGATAAGAGAATTATCTCCCTTGCACATAAAGCAGTGTCTTTGTTACCCATGACAGTAAATGAAAAAAAGGCCAATAAAAACTTTTCTGTTGACAGCAAAAGGCGTGTTTTTCTTGCTACGTCCGGCTTAAAAAAGTGAATCTCATTTATCCGAAAACTCGCTTCACTGAAACAGTTAAACCTAATCTTTATTTCCTTGAATGATTTGCTTCACCGAAAAATCCAAACGTACAAAATTAAAGGGAGATAATTGATATATCTGAATGGTGCTTTTCTTAAATTATGCATCGTTTAATAATTACACTCGTAAATTTGATTGTTGCTTATTTACGATAATGAATGATTGTTAACAAATCAATTGGTTGGTTTAAGAGGATTATTTTTTATCGTTTCACCCCAAGCAAGGCAATAATGCCACTAAGACGCAGGAAGTGAAAAAATAATGAGGAAACTTTAGTGAGATGAAATGAGGAAAAGACAAGAAAAAGGAACAGGGTTCAAGAAGACAAAAGATGGCGATTGACGTTGCATTGAAATTTTTGAAAATTGTAGTTATCAGAGAAGCAAGAAATTTGAAGGGAGTTCCACGGGTGAGAAGTGCGAGAGAAGAAACTATTAGAGTAAAAGTGTCGGTTGCATCTAACTAGTTCGACATTTTAATGTTGAAATCAGTTGAAGCCAGGAGCTTCAGTGGGTTTTTTTTGTGTGGGGGGGGGTTCTGTTAGTGAAAATCAAATATAAATAAAAAAGAATTAAAATATAAATATTAAAATAAATAAAAAGAGTAATACGAATTAATACAGAAGATTTTTTTAAAAAATATTTAGTTTATTTACGCATGCATTTTGGATAGGACAAATATTTAAATGGACTTGTTTTTTTTTTTTGTTTGTTTTTATTCGTTTTTAAATATACCTAGAGTGAAAACAAAATATCAAGTAACATTATTACGTGAATCAACACTTCGGTGAAGAATTTATGGAGAAAAAGTTATTCAGTATCGTAACACATTTTTTTTAAATTCCAATAATTTTTTTAAATGATGCATAATTTTAAAAGGGTATTATTTACATATAAAAGTTACTCCCTTTAATTTTCTAACTTTTGATCTTTCGGTGAAGCGAACCATACCACGAAAGGAAGATTCCATTTAACGCTTTCGATGAAGACAATTTTCTGGCAAATTTCATTCACTCTTATGTATCGAACCCAGCGAGTATATAATAAGGAAAACATGACTGTTGATAGAAAAAAACTCTTATTGGTCTTTTAATGTTTACCCCTTCATTTTTTTTTTTTTTTACATTGTCAATATTTAGCAAAATACTTTAAATATCAATTTTATATATTCTGTCATGGCGGTCAGTCTTTAAAATAACCGATTTTGTGGAGTGGGTCGAGCCGAGTACTTTTCAGCAAGAGACTTTTCAGCTTTTCTGAAATATGACGCGATCAATATCGGAATGCCTCCTAAAAGTTAATAACATGCGCGGCGAAATTCTTCATTTCAAATATTGAGAATCCCAGTAATGCCATATCATGACAAATGTTTCACAAGACGACACTGACTTATAAACATTCTTAATAAAACATCTGGTTTATCATTTTATCAGTCAGTTAAATGCCACACGTGATATATACTTGGACGATCATGTCTGTTTTGATTTATGACTGTCGAGGTAAAATTTTTTTGCCCCACAGTAGTTTGCCATTTCATTCTGCGGTAGACCAATTGCCATCCAAGGCTATAGAACCCAGTCTGTCCTGCTATTTGCCTATAGCTGGAGGGAGAAGAAGAGAATTCATACCTTTCCCAAGGGCATTAGCACGTATGTGAATGTCATGGATTCAACTGGAATTCGAAATACCAACCTATGCTATAGGATCCAGTCTGTCCTGCTATAGGGGAGATGTGATGGATCCATGCTTTTTCCAATGATATTTGCGCGTAAGTAACGACCCCGACTAGAATTCGAACACGGCTCTACAATTTCTCATTCTTAGCCGAGAGCCATTACACCACAACGCACATACCGAACGTTACCAGACATACCATCTCCTTAATCAAGCAAGAATAGATATTAAATTCTGCACAAAAGCAAGAATAAAGTTAGGAAGATTGTATAGTGCTAGTTTACTAAATGATGTCAAGCTGCCTGATTTGTAAACTAGCGCTCAAAATTCATTAATTTTACCTGAAATCGAACATTGGTCGCTAGCACCGGTGGTAATTAATCTATGTTATCGTTGTTCTTCTTCTATGTGTCGTGTCCCTGCAGGACGTAGGTGATCATGGCTCTCCACAAATTCCTGTCCTTTTTCGCTATTAATGAATTTTGTCTTTTCTTATCTCTCTTGAAACTTGCCCCGCCAATCAATCACTCAAGCTCGCTATGTAATTCATGCGCTATTTTCTTGTGTCCCTCTTTCCTTCAATCTGTCCCGTCAGTATCAAATTTTCCAAGCCTTCTTTCCTCATTATGTCTCCTAGAAATTTCAACTGTCTCTTACTGATGTTGAGTATAAATGTCGTTTTTGTTTCTATTTTCTCTAAAACCTAATCGCAGCTCACGTGTTTGGTTCATGGTATCCTCAGTATCCTTCTGTAGAACCACATTTCTATTGCTTCAAGTCTCTTCTTCATCTGTGAGGAGTTCGTCCGGTATTCACTGCCATATGGGAGAACTGATATTACCATTCAGTAATCTTTTCTTTGTTTCTAACGAAATTCTTACTTTTTTAAATACTTTGCTTAGTTTTCAGAAGGCATCTCTTCCTATCCCAATACGCCTTCGGTCAATGCTATCCTCAGCATCCTTCTGTAGAACCATATTTTTGTTGCTTCGATCTCTTCTTCATCTGCGAGGAAATTATCCAGCCTTCACTGCCATATACTATAACAAATAACTCAAAATCAGGAAACAAATTTTAAGCTCACATCACACTCAACAAATGCTTCAACCACGGAAGTTTTGCTGATTGTGTAGCGTATAAATCTACTTTGCTAAAAGCAACACTAATAAGATGAAGCAAAAATAAAAATAAAATAATGGACGACCCAGAATTTGGGGATAAAAGACACTAATGAGGTGGATTATTTTCTTAAAGTTCATCTCACACAAAGATCAAGAGCCACTCAACGTAGAGAGTTACTGAATTAGGTGTATAATATGAAAGTAAGAGGAGGAAATAAGAAAATACACCCATGTGCAATTTAAATGAAACAACCACTTTCCTTTCTTTCGCCATACGATCAGTTTTAGACCCACTGGAGTGACAGGGTGTAATCGATTTCTATTTTTCCGCAGATTAGGTCAATTTTCGGGGTGCATGATGAAATTTGTTTGGTCTTGAAAAATATTGCGCCGTCCATGATTACAACAGATTTTCATCACGCACAAACACTATTCTATCGACTGTCGATTAGTTGTCCTACGGCCATTGTCTGCAGTGGACGTTACTCCAAGAAAGCGTACGAAAATCGTAACGCTGCACGAACAAACTGGCAAGCCTTACCAGTGATCAAATCAAAGTACCATAGCCTGGCCAGGAAA